TAATCACTCAAATGAATTCCTGGCTCGGAGCACGGCGAGGATCAAACCGAGCAAACACGCTTGCAAATCACTTCACGAGCCATAATCGAATCTTTCTGTACGTAGACAAAGTACTTCAGCTGGATTGCAGTTTGATCTGTGGTTTCCAAAATGCTTTTATGGACAGTAATACATCAGCAGTGGCGGAGTGAGATGCTCATTAATGAGGCTGACAAAAGCAGTGGGCAAACTGATCGCTCTAATCTGGCTCTCTGGAGAGCTCTGCTGCTGCTTTCTACAGCCAACTTTCAACCTCTGTGCAGTCACTAAAGAAAATAGGCTGTTATAATTGGTGCCGCCACATCATACTTTTGCTGTCCGGCCGCATGCTGTAGATGGAGGGCCTAATGGATGCCGTGGAGTGACATAATGCTGCTTTCTTAAGTGTTTGCCTGCTGTTTGTATGCATGCACAAATCTAGTTCTTCAAATGTGAGATATCAAATAACACTTTTAGGAAGGGATGATTAGGTTGAAATGCTTGTAACATTTGGTAAACAATAGTGAATCGAAATGTACACTGGATTGGATGAGTTCTGAGGATTTTAGCTTACCGCCGTCTCATTATTCGAGATGCATTTGTATCAGATTCCAGCTTAATCGTGTTTGTTGATTGAGTTATCATAAATTGCATTTATGAAACCTTGTTTGGATGTTTTGTTCTGATGAGGGTACCAAAGCTAACAAAATATGTTCTAAGAATGTCTTGCCAACATTCCCATTAAGTTATGAAAACGTATTTAACGAATGTTCTCTAAATTAACATGTGTTAAGGTTTGTTAATCAAATAGCCTATGATATGATTAAAACTATGATAATCTAAACAAATAAACGTAAGCAGTTTTATTATTTATAGTGTGAAAATGTTTTACATAAACTTAAAAAAAAAAAAATTTATCCAATGTCCAACTAAAAATGTTCAGAACAAAAATACATTCCATGAACAATGTATAAATAACTAACATTTTTAGAGTGCTATTAAAGACTAGATACCTTTGAACAAATTTTAATCTAAACAAATAAACATAAATAATATTATTATAGTGTGAAAATGATGTACATAAAAAAACAATAAAAAAAAACTATCCAATGTCCAACTAAAACATCTCATAAAACAATGTTTTTGCTAACTTTTTTTATTAATGACCAAATACCTTTGAATGTATGTTCTATAATCTAAACAAATAAACATAAATAATATTATTATTTATAGTGTGAAAATGATTTACATGAAAAACTCAAAAATTAAAAATTCCAATGCCCAACTAAAATGCTTCATTAAAAACATTCCATGAACAATGTATAAATAACGTTTTTGCTCATGTTTTTAGAACATTTTCAAAAACCAGATACCTTTGAATGAATGTTCAAAGTTTATTAATCAATTATAACATGATTAAAACTATGATAATCTAAACAAATAGATATATAAACAAATCATATTATAATTTATACTGTAAAAAATTATTTACATGAATTAAAAAAAAAAAAATTCTCAGATGTCTAACTGAAATGTTTCGTAAAACAAACATTCCATGAAGTATAAATAATGTTTTTGCTAACGTTTTGAAAACATTGTTGAAGACCATATAACTTTGAACGAACACTCTAATAACGTTTATTAATTAATCAGTTATTACGATTAAAACCATGAGAATCTAAACAAATAAATAAGAAATAAACATAAATAATGTTATTTATAGTGTAAAAATTATTTACATACATAAAAAAAATCATTATCTTATGTCTAACTAAAATACATTTTAAAATTAATTAAAAAAAAGGAAAAATAAAAAGCTATAGTGTATAAATAATGTTTTTGTGCAAAGAACTTTATTAAAAACCAGATAACACTGAACAAACATTCTTTTAACATTATTGGAAGATGTTTGTTCGTAACTCATGAAAGAACCTTGCCAGAATGTTCGGAGAAATCCAAACCAGCGCCATAACCAGGCACCTTGGCTCAGGAGAAAATAAATATTATGGTCTGTGCATGTCTATAGCTTTCTCAGACACACACACACATTTCTATTCCTTTAGAGACATTTTACTACTCAAGAGCTTTATCATCACTTGAACTGTCTGGGGCTTTTCATTTTCTTCAAGCACGCCCTGACGCTCACTGTGACATTAGCCTCGAGCTGCATGTGCTTTTCATGCCGATCTATGACTGACCTTCTGAAGGTGTTTCCATGTTATGTTAATAGCCTCTTGCTTTTTCATTCCGTAGTCCATTTGTCTGGCATTGTGTAAACATCACTGGGACTACAGCAGTACTCTACTGCTTATGAAAGCTGGATATTAGGTTGTTTTGTTGAGAAATGAGTGTCATGCAAAACATTTAAAATGAATCTGGATTTCAAGTAACGATGGAATGAAATTGAGATGCCTGACAAGATGCCTTTTCATAGCTAATAATGTGCAATAACTAAAAACACATTTTCACAACATATTACACTGTATCAACATTTCTTCGCATGTTGGAATTGCATGTTTGTGTGTGCCGCTGCTAATGTCCTGTTCAGTCATTCCTGTCACATCAAGTGTAAAATGAAACTGAAGCCGAGCTCTAAGAAGGTGCAGCCTCGTGCCAGCATGACATTTCATCTAATAGAATTTAAAGCAGGGCAAGACACCTCTAGAATACCAAACAAATATTTAAGAGAGGTGCAAGGGTGAGGGGCTGATCTCACATCTAAGAATGACCTCTCCAATATTATGCCACAATATGCTGACTGACTGGTATGAGAATTTTTTTTAAAGATATAGAATAGAAACAACATTTTTTCCCCACCCTAGCCCTAACCCCGAGTTATAGAAACAAACAAATAAAAAAAAGCCCCTAAATACATAATTATAGAGTAACAAAATGGGCTGAGAAAATTTAAGAGAATTCCAAGATAAATGCAAGGTGTTTTCTAGAAAATTTAGTTGTAGCATGTATGAAGGTAGGCAGGGCCGTTTCTAGGCATAGGCGAGCTAGGCGGTCGCCTAGGGCGCCACCAGCTGAAGGGGCGCCAATGAGCGCACGTACTGGCACTTTTAGCAGGGTTGTGATAAAGAGTGGCACGGTCACCCTGAAATATGACTGCCGCCCCCACTGGATCCCCCAACATTATTGGGCTAGAGTACTGTCAATCTGACGATGAGAGGGGGGGGGGGGGGGCAATAGGGATTTCGCCTAGGGCAAATTGGCTAGAAACGGCCCTGAAGGTAGGCCATGCTACAGTAAAAGTTAATAAGGAGTATTTGAAATAAAACAAACAAAACCAAACAAACAATAAATAACTGAATCAAGCATTTTCAATTTGAGCATGTAAAATAAACCAAAACTAGATGATTTAGTGGTTTGTTTGTTTTAGGCTTTTATTTTTGTTTGTTTTTGTTTATTAATTTTCTTTTGTTTTTGGCTTTCTTTTGATTCTCGTTTTGTTTTCTGCTTTAATTTTTGAGACTTTTGTTTTGAGGGTTTTATGACTGCTTTAATTTTTGTTTTGTTTTGTGTTTGGCTTTGCTTTGCTTTTTATTTTTGTTTCTGCCTTTACTTTGATTCTCTTTGATTCTAGTTCTGTTTATTTTGTTTCTGGCATTACTCTGCTTTAATTTTTGAGATTTTTGTTTTGAGGGTTTTATTTATGACTTTGCTTTAATTATTGTTTTGTGTTTGGCTTTGCTTTTTATTTTAGTTTCTGGCTTTACTTTGCTTTGATTGTTATTGTGGCTTTAGTGTATCTCCAGTTTACTGTTTATGCAGAAATAATTTTTGCCAATTATGACTTCTTGTAAAGTCAAAACATTATGATGCAGTGACAAAAAAGGCATTTATTTGATATTCCCTGAACCTTGTTGCTACAAAGGACACAGATAATTCATTTTTGTGACTGAAAAACTGAACATCATAAAACCACATTCTTTCAAAGGCCAAACCAATTTGCTGCTTTACACTAGCAAAGCTAGTATTTCCTTTGCTTGAAAGAATATAGCAAATTAATTACTTCTGTGAACTCCAGAAAACGAATCTACTGCTTGAACACATAAGCTAAATCTAAATTCATGCCACATATCTTTTCATCTGAAAGATACATTGAGTGAGAAGCAGAACTGACAGGCAGCGATAGCTTATCTGTAATACATGTGGACAACATTCAGCCGTTGAGGAGGTGGGGGAAAAATGACTTATTTGACAACAGCACTTCAGAGTGGTGGCCTTTGTGTGAGTGTTCAATCTCTCACGAACCTCACAGAAATGTTCAATTAGGAGTTTCTATAGAAATATGAGAAAAAAACATGTATGTGTTTTTGCAGGTACATAAAACTGTTGTACAATCACAAGACCCCAGTATTGTACAGCTGTTTCATAGGCTTAGCTGGCTTATATCTGTACCATCAAAAGGCTTAAAGGGGTCATGACTGCCTTTTTATTATTTTGTACTGTTCTCTGAGGTGTACTTATAATGTTAAAAATTTTGACATCAAAAAACGTCATAATTTAGAAGCAACAGGCTATTTTTCTGTCCTGTTTTGACCCCCCTCATCAGAATGCATAGTACAATGACATCTTATATGTCAAAAAAAAAGATCAACGGAAAACGGCAAGACCCCTTTAAAGCTCTGATAGAAAGGTTGTAAGGTAATGCCCTGTTTAAACCCCTCAAATCACACAATCATGTCCACGACACCTATACAAAATATCTAACATAAATATTCAACAGTTCTGTCATTTGCTTACTGAAGAAGGCTTCTTACAGATGGCACAGGATTGAATTTATGCAAATAGCAACATCACTGCATGTCTTTCTACCTCTTTGAACCATAAAGGAGACTTTTGAAGCCTGTCTTATCCACTGAAAGCTTTGAAACATGGTTTATGTTTATATACATTAAATTAAGTGAACAAATTGAAAAGACGAAACATCCTAAGTAGCAGAATTACAAGCTGAACATATTCAAAAAAACAGGCACTATACAGATCAGTATTCATTGGTTTCTTTAATGTTTATGACAAGAATACTACAAGTGTATTTGTAACTTTTTTACTTCTAAATTTGACATTTGTCACACTGGCAAGCTCTGTCACGTCCGTAAAAGCACAATTTCTTCCATGGGTAATGAACAAACCGCATCATTTCCTGCCAAATGAGGCTGGAGGCAAGCGATGCCTTTTCAAATGTGATCCAGAGTAACATGTCTGCGTTTGAATAATGTAGGCCTTGCTGTATTTATAATGCACTTCTCCCCTTTTCCCAGTAATGAGTGGCATGGAAAGGGCACAGCATGCCTGCTCTTTTATTAAAACAAATGAAAGATCCATTATCACACTGAATAGTCAGACCCTTTTTCTCCTCCTCCTCCTCTTCTGCCTGGCAGTAATGTAAGGGAAGGAGGAAGGTGGAGGGTGTAAAAGGTAGAGCCTGTCATTCATTAGCCTGAAGTACTATTCAAGTCAAGCCATGATTTGAAGCCTTAATGAAAAGGCACGCCGACTTGTGTGACCACGAAAGTTACAAATAGCAACTTTTAAGAAACTAGACGTCAAATTGGTTTATTACAACTATGGAAAGAGTTATTTTGTAAATATTTTTTACATAGTAAGTATATTATGAAATGCATCTTTTATTATTTTCTTTAGAGCTTCTTTAATCATACTGTTGTATAGTTTTGTTTAGCTACACAACTGCAGGAATTTCATCTCATTGACACTGTCATTATCTGTCTGCAATAACAGTTATAACAGAGCTCAAAACAACCATTGATGAAACACAAAATATGAAGAAAAAAGCCAAAATATGATGTTTTCCATTCATTTGCCTTTTCTTCTTAAAATGGAAAATGAAAATCATATATTTTTTAACAGTATTTAAACATTTAATTGGACTTTAAGTAGACATTATGTATTTAAGACATGTAAAACTATGCTTTATGAACATATTAAGTGTGTGATCTTAAAAAAAGAGAGATGGAATATTTTGTGAAAGATCAAAGATCAATACCTAGTGGTTCGAAATTTTGGGGCAGAACAAATCGACAACATCCTGAGAGTGTATATCTTTGAGAAGGGGGCTGTGACGGCAGCTCGGTAAGATTTGTGAGGTCCTCTGACAGATTTGGAGCCGCAGCAGTGCTCAGAGTTGACACCTCAGGGCTGGACAATAAATAAGCATGTTCATCGTCTGTGACAGAAAAGCACTGGATAGTCACATCCTGGGCTGGCGACCTCCTCCGACCCGATCTCTGGGAATAATTCGTAGCTCCGAGCCGTGTTTCAGGAACACATTTCCTGTAGAATTAGAGAGATATAACATATTATATACAGCATATGACACATTGTATGATTACAGCTAAAACTATAAATAAAGGTCTGTTCAGTGGTTGATTGGTACAGCTTGGTTCCCTTCCGAGGGAACTTCAAACTGCGTCCTCTAGAGGTCGCTATGGGGAATGCCTTCAGCGTGACCGGAGTCTGAAGCATACATATAATCACGACAATAACATTGGCTGGCGACAACCTATGAAGTCATTACCTGGCAGCTGCATCAGTTGACGGTCTCTCATTGGGCCCTGCTAGACTGCCCCTTCTAATCTAGCGCTGCCTTCTGGTCGAGCTGATAAATGCTCCCCTCACTGCGAGGGTTGGCTATGAGCCTATCGCTCCCAGTTTGTGCTTTGAGGGCCCGCCTCAGCTTGAGAGCCGAGAGCGCTGCTCCAGAGAACTCCATATGCAACAATACTGAGTTGTTAGGCCCGTCCCTGTTGCCTCCTTGGTCAGTTGCCTCTATGCTGGGATCAACTATCATGCACGTTCTCTGGGCTAGAGCTCCTCTCGCTGAGGCGTTGAGTGGCTCAACACTCCTTAATTCCACTCTGCAGCTCGATAGATGGTCAGGCCCACGGGACCTCCCTGTCACACTGCCCTTATGGTCGTACCAGTAATCGCCCCTCCGTGGAGTGGGCTTGAGCACACTGCGTTCCCTGAGGTACGCGTGAGATGTGTGTCTGCGGAAACCCTTCCTGAAAGCTTCGGCTCTGAGGACCAGTAGCTCTGTATGCATGAATGGCTATCGGGCTCCATCGTCACAGAGAGCAAGAGATTGCGTCCAGTTGCATCAGTTGACCATCTCTAATTGGGCCCTGCTGGATTCCCCACCTTCTAATCTAGCTCCGTTGTGCTCTAGGGCCCGCCTCAGCCTGAGAACTGAGAGCGCTGCTCCCGAGAACTCCATATGCAACAATACTGAGTTGTTAGGCCCGTCCCTGTCGCCTCCTTGGTCATTTGCCTCTATGCTGGGACCCTGTTGTTCCCTGTTGAAATGTGCGATCCCCTTTTCAGCTGGATCCCATTTCTGATGTACCAGTTGCGGTCAATCTGCTCCCCGGACATGGCTGTGCTCCCCCCACTGCGGGAGGGTCTTTTATGAGCTCGCCAGTCCTGGGCAGGTTATGTGAGTTCTTCTCTCTACTTGAGAGTTAGGTACTTTGCCCCTGGGCTATTGATAGCTTCAGTCGAGCTGGGTTCCTCTCCCTTAGCTAAGGGTCGAACCCTCCGCTCTTTGAGCTCTGTGACAGCGACATCAGGTAGTTTGGCCGCTTGCTGCCTTCCTGATTAGTTGCCCCTATTTGGTCGAGCCTAGCAGTGCTCCCCTCACCTTGGAGGGTTACCTTTGAGCATGCCGCTCCCATTCGAGCGTCTGAGGCCTCCTCTCACCAGGTCCTCCACTCTTGGAGCTCCATTGAGCAGCAGCCTCAGGTTGTTGGGCCTCTCTCTGCCTCCCTGTTAGGCTGCTCTCTTTGTTGGTGAGCTTAGCAGTGCACCCCTCACCTTAGAGGGTTACCTTTGAGCACGCCGCTCCCAATTGAGCATCTGAGTCCCCCTCCTATTTTTGGAGTTGGGCCTCCTCTCCTTTGAGCTCCGATTAGCAGTCATGCCAGGTTGCTGGGCCATCTTCTGCCTCCCTGGCGGGCTGCTTGTTGAGTGAGCTAGCTGTGCTCCCCTCACCATGGAGGGTCTCTTTTGCAAGCACACCGCTCACTTCTGAGCATCTGAATCCCTCTCATTTGAGAGTCAAATCCTTCGCTCTGTGAGCTTCGCTGGGTAGCACATTAGGACTCTGCCTTCCTCTTAGGCTGCTCTCTTGGTGAGCTCAGCAGTGCTCCCCTCACCCGGAGGGCTATCTACGAGCATGCTGCTTCCCAGTCGGGTGCTGGTGTCCCCCTCTTGGTCTGAGAGCTGGGTGCTATGCCCCTTCTAGTTATGCATGAACAGATGCTCCAGAGTCTGTTCTGTGACTGCTATGGTTGAGTTGGCGATACTCCCCTCACATGGAGGGTTTTTCTATGAGATACGCCTTTTCAATCCACATGTGCTCTTCACACGCGGCCTCCTGCTGAATTAATTGTCACTCCCTGAGCGTGCCACAGTCACGTAGGGTTTCTAGGCCTGTCTAAGTGACAGTTTCGGTTACCCCTTAGTAACAGTGTTTCTAAATCCATGCTATGGTAAGTGCACACGCTGAGCTTCTGTGCCCTTTCTAAAATCCACATTGTGGTAAGTGTGCACGCTAAGCATTCTACGCACTTTCTAAAATCCTGTATGGTAAGGGTTACATGCTGTCAGCCTCGTTCCCTTTTTCTGATTTGAACTTATGTATCCCTGTTGATACATTTCATTGTCATGTTTGGATGTATGCTTCAGACACCGGTCACGCTGAAGGCGTTCCCCATAGCAACCTCTAGAGAACGCAGTGTCTCATTCCCTTCTCAGGGAACCATGGTTACATACGTAACCTGAGACGTTTTCCTCTCATCAGAATTCATGAAATCATACCAAAGCACTTGTATATTGTATATAAGCAACAAACTGTGACTCACTCAGTTCCCTCTGATATAAGTAACTCACTCAGCGCATAAAGCAAAATCTATTCAGGTGTCTGCGCTACATTTAGTATGTGATTGTATAACTTGCAGAGCTGAAGGTACATATTTCTATAATACACACACGCTGTATATTCGGGTCAGGCTAGACATGTTGCTACTATAAAACTAATGAATCACAGCTCATTTGACATTTAGGTCTCAACCCATGACATGTATGAAAGATTACAGGCCATTTTCATGTGATTAGATGCAGCACGGCACTCAGGGAGGAAAACACTGACAGAACGCCACTGGGACAGCTTATTAGAGACAGCAAATAATGGATTACAGAGACGGCTCCAGCGGTAAATGACTAGTAAAGCAGGATGGAAAACATCTGTAAAGAAACATTTAGTCGGGGGAATAAACTCACAACAATGAGGAATTGTATAATTGAAGCACATTATAAATATTCATCAGCTAATTTCTGAAATTAACATGCAAAGCCTATTGATGGAGTCAATCATTAAATCTCTCTTATTTTCAATAACTTTTTTTTTTTAAAACATGGTTCCCAGGGAGGGTTATGGAAAACCTGAATAATATGGGACTTTTAAAAATGCGATTAATGTCATGTAACGTAATTAAATCTTAAAATGGCATTGTCATTTTTATAAAGAACATACATTTTTCTAGTTTTGTCAATCTCTAAAATATTTTATCATAACATCAAAATTGTGAGTAAAACCATTTTTAAATATCCTTATCCTTAATCCTTAAGACAAGGCTGGAAGAGTCTTGTAAATGCATTGGATAATGGATTACAGACATAGACAGTTCCAGCATTAAGTGACAAGTAAAGTAGGATGGAAAACATCTGTAAAGAAACATTTAGTCAAGGGAATAAACTCACAGTAATGGGGGATGGTATAATTGAAGCACATCATCAATATTCATCAGGTAATATGTGAAATTCACATGCAAAGCCTATTGAAGGAGTCTCAGGAAATCATTCGATCTCTCAAAAGGTCCCCAGGTGGATAAACATGAACAATATGAGGCAGTAAACAGAAGGATCCATTCATTTGCATGTCCGTGATTATGAAGGATAGGCAGGAAAATCGCAGCCACGCAAGTAAACAGTGAGAGCAAGATGAGGTATCATTTCATAAGATTGCTATGAGAAAATGCAGGGAAAAGGAAGCTTAAAAAACATGGAAGGTGGATTGAAGCACCAATAAACTAAAAAACAAACAAATATCACTATTTCCAGTCCTGTGTGACATATGGATATATCTAAATAATTTACGGCTGACAAAATGACATTAATTACAGTCAGATGCTGCTGCAGAGAGCAGCCCTGATCGAGTGAAGGAGCGTCACCGACCTGCTGTCTGTGCCGGGTTGATTCCGATGCCATCTACACAAATAATAATCACAAACAACATCAGCATCACAATGTGAGTACATACGCAAAACAATCATTATTAAAGACAATCAATGAATAAGACAGATAGCCAAGAGCAGAGAAAGCCTTTACGTGCTAAAACGCTGAACAATCACAATTCAAACAATCCCATTTACAATATCTGTCCTGTGTTGTGAGTGGTGAGTTATGTCTTCGTTCTGTTTATGATTTGTTTAATAATAACTCATGACACAGCATAGCCCCACAGTCTCCCTCTCTAACTATATAATTGCACAACAGCTCATTTTGAGTGAATTCATTACGTGAAGGATTCAGCAGATGTTTTGTCTGATTCATGAAAAACAACCAGTTTGTAATTTGATCTATAGTGGTTGTTTTTTTTTAGCGCAGTTGACAAAGAACCCAAACCAATGAAGATGCGAAGGTGATGTGAGAATCTGCCAGAGCATTAAATCAATTTAAAAAATGAAAAAAAAAAAAAAAAAAAAAATTAAAATAGGCTAAAACAAAAACCAAGATAAAAAGATCCCATGGTTTGAGAAATCCTGATTATTTTAGTTTAATTAGTCAAAAAAAATGAGAACATCTGGTTTAAGGATTTGACCAAATATGAGCGTTATGATGATGATAATAATATCAACAACTTACCGTTTGTAATGATGGCACTGGTGGCTGCTGGCACTTTAAACTTTAAATGCAAGAAAAAAAAAAGAAAACAAGTTTTATTGTTCAATCCATCAACAACTTATGCTGACAGCCAAATATGTCCCATAAACAGCCCTGCACAGTCCCTCTGTCAAGCAAGGATAAGAAAAAAATCAACTCGAGTCTGTATTTGCATCAGGTGATTTAAAGAGTCTGTCCTACAGAACAGAAGCCTTCAAACGTGAGGAAAGAGCTCTCTGGGCTGAGCTTAGAAGAAACTGTCACTGTCACAAAGAGCCACTGAAAGGAAAAAAAAACTGGCAAATTCATTCTGAAGGGGCTTTAAAAAAACTTGCCGGGTGACCTGAAGGCATTTCTACACCCTTGAACAGCATAAAACTGATGGGGAGCAAGAATCCAGGCTAGTGCCAGAATTAGTGATCAGAAAATCAAATGTATAACTATTTATATTGCACAAGAATGCATATTTAATTAATTAATTACAGAATTTTGTGGGAGTTTATTCAGTTTCTAATTCTCCTTTGCCTATCTTTTGTCAGGAGGATGAAAGATCACATAACCATAACCTGAAGTGGGAATACAAAAATTGTTATTGAGAGGGTGAAAAAAAGCTGAAAATAACCCTGTGCATTTTTAAAAAGGCCCTTTATCATTCTTTCTGGCTTCCACTTGAATCTAATCACGAACATATCGATATCAGCCATTATTTGTGTTTTTTTTTTCATTAATGTATCAGCTTTATATTAGACTTTACTTTTTACGTTTAAATAGTTGGTCTATACTCTTTGCCAATGCAAGATTTCAAAAATCAAGTGGCCAACGCTGATACAGCAAAATAGAATAAATATATTGTATATATCTAGATATAATTTAATGGCTATTATTGAATATTAAAATATTGATAATGCATTGCTGTTATCTAACAAATAACAATAATAATAATACTATTATATATATATAAATATATGTGTGTGTGTGTTTGTTTTTTTACAATAATTTAAAATCATATCAAATTACATGGGTTAATTAAGCTTCACAATATATCAAATTAATACATCGTATTAGAAAATAAACAATATTGGCCAATCTCTAATGTGAATGCCAATTTATTATTTAAACAATAAAAATGTCTAAAATCAAGTCTTAAATAATCAGATTGATTATCAGCAAAAAATTATTGTTATTCCCATTAATCATATTCTTGCAGTCAAACTAACATTGGCTCTAGTTTCATTGAGACCGTTAGCCAAATGTATTATATGATTCTGCATTGATCCTGTTCTGATTTTTACAAGAGAGGCTGTGGACACAGAGATAAGCCTGAGTGTGTTTCAAATGAGAATAAATCATTACCTACTCAAAAAAGACTACACTATTATTGCTATAGGATACAATTGGCTAGGATCTGGCTAGGATACAATTGAGCTAAAGTTCACATTATGATCTATGCTATGATCCAAGCCAATTTAATAAATTATTGCACAGAATTGAGCAAATCTGACTGAGAGTCAGTAATGCTCCAACCATTGTAGAGAATTACTGTTATCATATATATATATTTTTAAACTATTGTCAGTCAGAAGCACAATGGCAAATGCATAGTGCTACATTTAAGCAGATCTCTCAAAAATACATTTTCACATGAGGTTGCAATAAGACTATGAACATTAATTAAAAACAAAAAAAGATGAATCAACTCACCTCTTCCGCTGCAAATTTCAAAACTGCCGTGAATGGTGTGCTCTCAGGTACACTTAATCTGAAATACAATTATGCCAATGAATCTTGGTGCAACAGTAACACACACACACACAATGAGAACCACCCTGTGTAAAAAGCATTAGTGAATGTGCCTTGTCAAGAAACAAAGCTCAAACACACACACACACACACACACACACACACACACACACAAATATTGAGAACTACCCTGTGTAGAAAACATTAGTGAATGTGTGTCCAGAAACAAAGCACAAATAATCTTACTGCCTAATTCTGTTTTAAACCAGAGCACATTAAGAAATATTATGCTTTTTCAAATTATTCTCTGGTCATCTTAACCAGCCACTCCATGAGATCAAAGATATTTGCTAAAACTTGGCATGTGAAAAATCATCCACAATGGCTGGCAACCATCAGCACTGCAGGTGCTCGGAGCTGAGCAGGGAAATCAGCCTGTTTGAATGGCCCTTGACAGACTACTCTCACCCAAACAGCACGTGTGTCTGCCATCCATCAGACACAGTATGACATCCATAGATTACCACTGACCATAGCACTACTATAGTGATTGCAACCAATATAGCAGACACATGAAGAACCCTTTTTTTCATGCACTGGTCAATTTTGAGGTTTTTGGCTATTTTTCTTCCATAACATGTCATGCTTCTTTCAGACTAGGGGAAGAAAATACAGTTTTAATAGTTTATTTTCCAACAGTTGATCTATTTGCATCTGTAGATCTGTAGGTCTCTTTAAAGACTGTTTCCTCAAAATGATGCATATACAGCGGGTAAAATAAGTATTGAGCACATCACCATTTTTCTCAGTAAATATATTTCTAAAGGGGCTGCTGACATGAAATTTTCACCAGATGTCGGTAACAACCCAACTAATCCATACATACAAAGAAAACAATACAAATAAGTTCAGAAATTAAGTTCTGTGTAATAAAATGGAATGACCCAGGGAAAAAGTATTGAACACGCTTACTGAAATTTATTTAATACTTCGTACAAAAGCCTTTGTTGGTAATGACAGCTTCAAGACACCTCCTGTATGGAGAAACTTACAGAACTACAGAATTTACAGAAACGTCGCATGCATTGCTCAGGTGTGATTTTGGCCCATTTTTCCACACAAACAGTCTTTAAATCTTGAAGGTTCCATGGGCCTCTTCTATGTACTCTACTCTTTAGTTCTTTCCATAGATTTTCTCTTGGATTCAAGTCAGGTGATTGGCTGGGCCATTCTAGCAGCTTTACTTTCTTTCTCTGAAACCAAATGTGACCCTGGACAACAAAACCAGCCATAAGTGTCAAATTTTCAAAATTGAGATTTATACATCATCTGAAAGCTGAATAAACATGCTTTCCATTGATGTATGGTTTGTTAGGATAGGACAATATTTGGCCTCAATAAATCTGAGGGTGCAAAAAAAAAAAAAAAATACTGAGAAAATCGCCTTTAAAGTTGTCCGAATGAAGTCCTTAGCAATGCATATTACCAATCAACAATTAAGTTTTAATATATTTACGGTAGGAAATTTACAAAATATCTTCATGGAACATGATCTTTACGTAATATCCTAATGATTTTTGGCATAAAAGAAAAATAGATAATTTTGACCCATACAATGTATTTTTGCCTATCGCTACAAATATACCTGTGCTACTTATGGCTGCTTTTGTGGTCCAGGGTCACAAATGAGTTTCCTTGGCTGTGTGTTTGGGATCATTGTCTCGCTGGAATGTCCACCCTCATTTCATCTTCATTATCCTGGTAGATGGCAGCAGATTTTTATCAAGAATGTCTCGGTACATTTTTCAATTCCTCCTTCCTTCAATTATATGAATTTTGCCAGTGCTACACCATGATGTTTTGGGGTGATGTGCAGTGCCATTTGACCTCCAAACATGGTGTGTATTATGGCATCCAAAGAGTACAATTTTTGTCTCATCTGACCAGACTATATTCTCCCAGTATTTCACAGGCTTGTCTAAATGTTGTGCAGCAAACTTTAAACGAGCTTCAACATGCTATTTTTCAGCAATGGAGTCTTGCATAAGCGTGCATACAGGCCATGGCGGTTGAGTGCATTACTTATTGTTTTCTTTTAAACAATTGTACCTGATAATTCCAGGTCTTTCTGAAGCTCTCCAAAAGTGATCCTTGGCTCTTGGACAACTCTTCTGATAATTATTTTCACTCCTCTGTCAGAAATCTTGCGAGGACGTGGTGGTCGTGGCCGGTTTATGGTGAAATTATGTTCTTTCCACTTCCGGATTATGGCCCCAACAGTGCTCACTGGAACATTCAGAAGTATAGAAAT